ATTATAATATCTGTTACAAGCAAGTGTAATAGATATCTAAACAAAACTATCTATCTATCTATATATATATATATATATATAATCACTTTAAACATTATTTTTAGTGGATACTCATATTTGAGTAGACACTCTGTTTATTTATTAAACAATATATTTATTTATTTTTGTCTACCAGCCTGAATATTCAAGAAATCTTATTAAAGAAAAATATGTGCTCTCTGGCAGGATTCTTCCTTAGATATTGTAATATATATATATATATATATATATATATATATATATATATATATATATATATATATATATATATATATATATATTTCTCCCATTGGAGTTGATAGGCTCACCTAACACCTGGTTCACATCCCTCCCTGATGTTTTGAACAGAATTAGAGGTTTATCCCTTGTTTCTAGTTTAGAATTTGGTTTCCATAATGTCTCTGATTGAACTATGAAATTTTATTCACTCATTAAATCTTGACAACTCCAAGTCTAGAGTTGGCCATTGTCTTTCCTGCATAGCCCAAGGAACTTCACTTCTTCCATTTACTTATGTTAATACAACACTATACAGTAACCCTCTACCTTGAATGGCTCTTGGGCCTTGTATTGGGTAAACATTAGTTATATACACGCACGCACACACACACACAACAAATCATGATTGTGTGTGTCAGGTATAAATGCTTATATATAACCATATATGATTAATCCTTTAGATTATAATATTCTATTTGGTGAAGACTTTTAACACTCACAAGAAAATCAATTATGCTTCACAATTTTTGTTCTCTATTCACTAACACTTTACTCTTGACTACATCTCCATTAGTAATACAACTTAAACCATTTCAGTTTTCTTTTGATCCAAGTCAAATTATACGAAATGATTAGATCGGCTTTCTTAAGTCAGTTGTCTAAACTTTACAAAGTCAGTCACAAATTAGAGACACAATGCTCAAATATTACAGTTTAATATTTTCTGTGATGAGATAATTTTTTTTTCCTTTCTAAATACGCCATTCACACAAGTGTCAGTAGCTTGCAAGTAAGATGACAAATTTGGAACATTAATTATTTAGATTTGTTTAAATTTGCTGACTATAAATTAACAATTGAACTGGTGCTTCTCTATATAAATCACTATTATTTTTCTTGCCTATCTTTTTTTTCCCTTTTTTTTTCTTTTTTTCAAAATTTAGTGCTATATTTGGAATCAATCCCTAAAATTAAAAATGTTATGTTTAATAGTAATTCAAAGTAATATTACGCTCTGTATTTGATTATATCTATCCCCTATGGTACATAGATATTAGTTTATATTATTTATATACTGTATCTATGTATTTTTATGTTACATATGAATAATACATACATGCAGGCATGTCATGCATATGTGGTATAAATGCATATTTAAGGTACAAATTTAGAGCATTTATATATATATATATATATATATATATATATATATATATATATATATATATATATTTGTATGTATATAATATATATTTGTATATATATGTATGTATATATATATATATATTTATATATATATATATATATATGTATATATATACATACATATATATAATATATATTTGTATATATATGTGTGTGTGTGTATATATATATATATATATAGGAATGGATTTTTTTATTAATTTAACATTTTTAATTTACTTGTTTAAACGTTATTTTTAATGGATACATTTAAACAAATAAATTATAAATATATAGTTTCTATAAATGTTAGCAATTTAAATATTTACTTGTATGAATGAATATATATATATATATATATATATATATATATATATATATATATATGTGTGTGTGTAGATTTTTTGGCATTAAGCTTGTAAAATGTTCTTTTAAAGAGCTTCCCCTCATTCATATTTTTAAGTATTAAATCAAAGGCCATATTTTTTCACTAACATACATCTCCTTAATATGAACATAGTCCCAAATTTACGAAAAGCACATATTAAGCAAAATGCAGACAAAAATTAACAAATTTTGAAAAATGCTTAATTTTACAAATTTTGAAAAATTTACTAAACCTTGAATCTTTTTTTTTTTTTTTTTTTTTTTTTAAATTAAAAATTTTTTTTGTTGTTTTGTTTGAAACTGGAGTGCTGCTGATGCTATTTGAATTGGATTCCTTCTGCTGTGTCGCAATATTTATAGTTGTACTTACTAAAATTTGAACTTTTTGCCCCGCTTGCTGCGTTGTTTGCGCGGCCATGGGTTGCAGCTGGTATCTTCCTAGCTAGCGCTCCGCTCTGCCAAACAAGGGAGACCACCGCAGCGGTCTTCTTGCTGTTGCTGCTGCTATTACAACTTTTATTATTATTATTCATTATTATTATTATTATTATTAATTTATCACTTCACATCTGCTGTGTTAGTTTCCCCAGTTTTGGGGGTGTGGTACAACAAAGTACAGTTCATTTTTATTTATTTAAATTTTTTTCTTTTGGTTATAAGGATCAGCTCATTAGATATAAATGTTAAATAATTTTTCATTGGATTCAAAAGAAACGAAAAAAATGTGATGCAGCATTTCACCATGACTTATATGAAGCCAAAAAACTCAAACATTGGTAGGTATTCTGTATCTCCTCAGTTTCACCTAGATGCTTAATAAAGTATTAAATTTTGTTAAAAAAAAATTCATTTAATTTTAAAAAATTAAATTCTGAATTTTATTTCAATTAGATCTTAATTTCATTGACTTTTTTTTTTTAGCTCTTTTGTTAAATAAGGCTGTTTACAAATCATTTAAGGTCTCTCTTTTTTAAGGTTCTTTTTCTTGGCTTTCTTTCTTTTTCTCTATATGCCATGCTTTTTTATTTCATTTTTTTTTTTATTTGCTTACTTTTATTAATTTTATTTTTTATTTCATTAAATATCTTTTGTTTTCTAATTATTTCTTTCTTTTGTTCAGTTTTCACAGAAGATAAATTGATTCATCTTTCTTCTCTTTCACTTTTATTTTCACCTTTCCTTTTTCAAATAGCTACATTTTCCTTCTTTTTTTTCCTCCCTTTTTTTCATTTCTTTTATTCTTTTTAAACAGAAAAAATGGCCAGTTTTCAATATTTTAAACTTTTAAAGAAATTATTTTCAACTTAGAAAAGTCATAATCTACTGACTTGTAAATGGAGATATTAATATTTTTTAAGAAAAGGAGAGGAAAAATTTGAATTCATGATAAAAATGAAATTTTGTTTCTTTTTTTTACCATTTCAGTGCACACACAAAGCACACATATACACATGAAAGCATTTTCATTTGTCAATCTGTTTGAAGTTGGTGCAGATGTTGATATATAAATGTTATTTAAGGTGTTAAGCAGGCACAAAACCAATGTTATATAATGTGTGTGTATATACATATATATTTATATGCACATGCACTCCCTTATTTACATATCTATTAAAATAGAGAGCATCAAACAAAGATTTAAGCTAAAATGGGACTTTGTACTCACTCTTTCATTGCTTAAATAGTTGAGCACTTTTTCAACCTTTTTAACAGCACTTCTGCACATTTTGCCCATGCTGTCTTTCCACACAATTTTATAATTCTTTTTCTTAAAGAAAATGAAACAAATGTCAGTATGTTACACCTTTTATGTTACCAATAAATTTTTGAGCCATTTACTAGATGCATCATTTTGTATAAAATTTCATACTAAACCAAGGAATCAATGATTGAAAGGATAAGTGTCTAGCACTTTACATAGCACAGTGTTTATTATAGCACTCCTCAAGTAACAAATGTTCTCTTTTAAAATCTCATATTTGACATGAAACTCGTCTAAAATAACAACAGAGCCACACCACTCCCTACAGCACATTATGGCTTGTCTTGAGTCCAAACTTTTTTCCTATTTTTAATTCTCTCTGATATTTGTCTTTAACTAGAAAAAATCTTCAAACAATTTTCTTTCTAATCATTAATGATGCAAACAATACTAATTAACATGTTAGAATTAAAAAAAAAACAAAAAATGAAAAAAAAAATTAAATGGAGAATTAAGAATATATACAAAAAAATGTAACTAAGTGTTGAGCTGATGTGTATATTATTGTGTTGCATAGGGAATGAGAATCTGGATCAAAAAGAAAACAAAACAAAATCAGTCCGTCTTACTTTTTTATTATCAAGCCAAATTTCTCTGAAGTTAGTCACTCCAGACTAATTAACTTTTATGATAGAGATTGTTTTCAGTGTTAATAAAAGATTTGGTAAAAGTTTGTAAAAATCTCTTACTAATCAAGACTGAAATATACATTTTTATCTTCTTCCTTAAGCATCTGTATCATGGATAAGATAGACTCAATAAAAGTGTTATTTTATATAGTAAATTAAGTTTTTGATAAAATTTTTACTACTTTAAATAATAATTATCCTAATATCCCCAGGGATTGAATGGAATTATATAAAAGTTTCAAGTTGGCAATGTATTGCTGGCACCTATTATTTGTTGTGTTCTTGTTGCTAGCGCTTTTAATACCAGAAACAGACAATATGCAATAAATTCATGTCTGGTTGCTGCACTGCTATTGGCTGTCTCCAAGAACCTGCACTTATTGTTACCAAGTAGTAACAGAATTGCGCTGTTATTAGATGGTCAGCAAATAATAATCTGTTCATTTGAACTTTCCCAATCTTTAATAAGTCTATCCATAATCTCTCTATCATTTCACATTCTCTCTCTCTCTCTCATTCTATTTGATATTTCATTTTTCTAATTTCTCTTTCTTTCACACTCTAATATGGCACCTCTTTGTTTTCTATATTCTTTATATCTTTCTGTCCCTCTTTTTCTGACTCTTACTCTTATAATCTTTCACTTTAACCTTTTTATTTTTCTTTATATGCTTTTCTTTCACTCAACATTTATTCTTCTTTCTCATTCTTTTATCTGAGAAACTCATATACTTTCATTGATATTCTTTATCAATATTAATGATCTTTTCTTTCATTAGATTCATTATGTTTTGGCTCTGTTCTCTCTCTACACAATTCCATCTATCCATTTCATTTTTATAGTCTACAACCTTTTTCCCTCTTCCTCAGTTCTCTGTCTTGCCATGACTTGTTCACTATCACTCTCAACATCCTTATTTTGTTCACATTGTCCTTCTTCAGCATTTTTTTTATCTTATGCACTTATCTTTTCTACTATGTTGTTCACTCTGCACCTTTTCTTCCTTCTGTTTACAGCTTTATTATGTTTACTCTATCTTCATCATTACTTCTCTCTCTTTGCTCTCCATGTTTTCTCATCCCTGTCCCACTTTATACACTTGTTAGCTCTTCTTATCTCTCTTTATCTCTCATCATCATCTTTTTTCTTTTGTTTACTCTTTTCATCTTGTTTTTCTTTGCTCTCTCTTCATTTTTCCTTGCTCTCCCTTCATCTTTTCTAGTCTCTCCTTGCTCAATATTTTCTTGCTTCTTCTTGCTCTCTCTTCATTGTCTCTTGTCTCTCCATGCCTTTCTTCATCTTCTTGTCCCTCCATATTTTCTCTCTCTTTTCATCTTCTCTTGTCTTTCCTTGTTCTCTCTTCTAGTTTCTTCTTGCCCTCGCATCACCTTTCCTTGTTCTCCCTTCTTGTCTCTCCTTGCTCTCTCTTCATCTTTTCTTCAATGTTTACTCTCTCTTCATCTTTCTTAACTCTTTGTGCTTGTTTTTTCATTTTTTCTTCTCTCCTTGCTTTCTTTCTTCATCTTTTCTAGTCTCTTCTTTCCCTTCCTTCATCATTCCTTGACTCTCTTGACTCTCTCTATCTTTTCTAATCTCACCTTATTTAATATTTTCTTTAATATCCTTGCTCACTCATCATCTTCTCTTGTCTCTTCTTGCCCCATCTTTGCTTGCTCTCTCTTTTTGTTTCTCCTTGCTCTCGCTCTTTGTCACTCCTTGCTCTTGCTCTTTGTCACTCCTTGCTCTTGCTCTTTGTCACTCCTTGCTCTTGCTCTTTGTCACTCCTTGCTCTTGCTCTCTCTTTTTGTCTCTCCTTGCTCTCTCTTTTTGTCTCTCCTTGCTCTCTCTTTTTGTCTCTCCTTGCTCTCTCTTTTTGTCTCTCCTTGCTCTCTCTTTATCTTCAATATGTTTACTCTATCTTCATATTTCTTTGATTCTTCTTGTTCTTTCTTCATCTTTTCTTGTCTCTCCTTGCTTTCTCTCTTCATCTTTTCTAGTCTTTTTGCCCTCTCTGCATTTTTCCTTGCTTTATATTCTTTGTTCATCTTTTCTTATCTCTTTGCTCTCTCTACAACATGTTTTATGCACTTTGCTCACTGTTCATGTTTTCTTTCTCTTCATATTTTTTTCTCTTTGCTCTCTCTTTAAATCTTTTCTTCACTTACTTTCCTCACTTTGCTCTCTCTCTTTATCTTTTCTACTCTTTTTTTCTCTCTTCATCTCTTCTACTCTTTTTTTCTCTATTCATCTCTTCTACTCTTTTTTTCTCTATTCATCTCTTCTACTCTTTTTTTCTCTATTCATCTCTTCTACTCTTTGTTTGCTCTTCATATTTTCTTTTCTTTCTCTTCATTTATTTTCTCTTTGCACTCTCTTCATTTTTTCCTTTTGAACTCTCTCTTCGCCTTCTTTCTCTTTGTCCACTCTTCATCTTTTTTATTTTTGCACTCTCTTCATCTTTTCTTCTCTTTGCTCTCTCTTCATCTTTCCTTTGTTTTTTATATTTTTATCTCTCTTTTGTGCTGTTCATTTTTTCATCTCTTTTTTAGATCTTTCCTCTGGCTACTTGCTCTTTTTTGATCTTTTTTTCTCTCTCTCTTTTTGCTTGCTTTCCATCTATCCTTTTCTTTTATGCTTACTCTTTATCTAGATTCTCTTTTATCACTCTTTTTCATTCCTCTTTTTACTTGCTCCTTTCTTCTCTTTCTACACACTTAGCAACTTTTCCTTTGTAGCCAATATTTTGCCACTCTCTTTTATCCTTCTCTTTACTTAATCAGCATTTTTACCTTGTTTATTACTTGCACAGTACCTTTACTCATCATATTTCCTTGTTTTTCTCCCTATTTTCTCTCTCAACATATTTTGCTTTCTGTTCACTCCACACCTATCTTTGATTTTCTCTATTCAGGATCTAGTCCTATTTTTCTTTATTTGTTCATCTATACATATTTGTCTGCCTTTACTCCTTCAGTAACTATCTCTTTCACTCTCTTTACTTCTTTGGTATCAAACATTCTCTATCATTCATTATTTGCTGACTCTCTCTCCCTTTTTGTTTTGCATCTCTCCCTCTCTGTTTACTTGATTAGCATCATTATCTTTCCTTACTCAGCATCTATCCCTATTTCTTTCTGCATTTGTTTAACATCCCTATTTATCACTTATCCCATACTTTCTATAACAACATATATCCTTCTCTCTATTCAGGATTTAGTTTTATTTTACTTTACTTAAACAATATCTATTTTTATATTTCTCTATACTCACTCAGCATCTATTCCTATTTCTCTCTTTACACACATCTTCATTTTTCTTTTCATTACTTCTTTAATCCTATTTCAATCTTGTACTTTTTACTTTCCTTGTCTTTATTTTTCTCTCAACTATGCTCAAACCATATCAATCTCTTTGTTTAAAAAGAAAATTCAATCTTTAGCTAATCACTGTGTTTCCCATCTTGTTTTTGGCCAAAAGTAGAAACACTAAACACCTGTTGTTCTGATTTGTATAAAGCGCTGTTGCGGGTAAATTTTTGCGCTGTCTCACCTTGTCCTCTGTTCTTTCATACTCTGCACTAATAATATAATACTTCAGACACCTGGCCACTACCTTGATGCTCTGGTTGATATGTCTATACATATATAACCATAGCAGTTTTTCTTTCTGCAATGGATGCTTTTGCATATTGGTTGCTTTCCATGCCATCAATCAAGCTTTTTAAACTGTTCCTTTTTTTTTTTTTTTTTTTTTTTATTTAACTATGATTTAGATAGTTATATAAATGTCACAACTCATTTGTAGGGGGCAGGTGAGTAACAAGTTGACAAGCACTTGGGTTTTTGAACATGATGGCAGTCATTATTGTCCTGGCGTGATTTGCGTCATTCACAGCTTGGGATTCTATGATCTTGTCGGTGGTGGTGGTGGTTTTCATTTCCATCTATTTCTTTCTATTAATATATGTATACATATTTAAAATGGCAAAAGATTTATTAAAATCAGTATTTATGTTACATGTATTTTAATACTTCAAGGTAAAATATATATAACATTTTTTATGTTTCATTTTGTAGCTAACATCTGAAATGTTTTGTAGTATATTTTTTCAATTTTCCTTTTATTTTAAATTTGTTTCATAAGAAAATGTTCTGATTTATCTGCATAGAAAAGATAATTTTGTGTTAGGCAATTAAACAATGAAATTATTATTTATTGTAGCAGAATTAACTGAAATAATTATCAACTATAATTGTTATATGAAATACTTGAAATAATTTGTACAGTAAAAGAAAATAGAAGAGGTATTCCAAATTATCAAAAAGATAACTAAATATTTGAATTATTAGTATTCTATAAATAACAGGATTGTATTAATTGCATAGAAACAAAATTCAGTATATCCCTCAAAATGGTAGTGCTTAAGAATTTGATTATTCATTACAGAACGGTTTACCAATTTAAGTAGTGAACTTAAAGTACTAATAACAATTGTCAGCTCTGGCAGTCTTATATTTTTATTTGCAATATGTTGCCTTAGTTTTTTGGGGTTTTTTTTTTTTTTTTTTTTTTCATACAAAAATTTCTTGAGCATATTTTTCTCAATTCCAATTTTTGTTTACATATTTTTTTCCTTATGGATTAATTTTTTTTGGAAACTGATATTAAAGGGGTTTTTGTTAGCTTATTAAAAACACTTATTATTGGTCATTTCAAGAGTACATTTCACACATTCTTTTTTGCAAAAGCTTGGGGTAATATATCTTTCTTTTGATATTTATTTTGAATGAAAAAGTTTTATTTTGTAGGCTGAAATGATGCTTTAAATGAAAAAAAAAAAAAAAAAATTGCACAACATTGTGTCTTATGTAAAAGGTCCACAAAATTTGCCTTGACATCTTCTGAATGTAAACACTGTAAATGCATCTAAGTGTGCCAGTCGCATGAAAGTTGCTGTGATTAATCAACTAAAAATACTCTGAAAGTTAACATTTTTATTCCACATATGTGTGTATGTACTTTTCCCCACACCCAGCCTACAAAGCAGAAGTGTTTATATCATTGCTTATAGATCATAACCCAAATTATCCTTGTCATTGATAGACTCCTCAGTTTTTTCCCTGGTTTTAAATCTTGTAAATTTGTGTTCATCACTTTTTCCTTTTGCTATTTTTTTTAATAATTAATCTTTTTTTTTTTTGTTTTTTTACTTCTGTCTTTGCTGCTGGTGCCTTTATAGAGCAAACCATGCAGCTACCTAAGTTAATGATTGAGTTCTTTCAAAATTTAAATGTTTAACTCCTGACCCTTATTTGCATTTGGGTTTCATGATTTAGAAATCCAAAATATTTAAAACAAACTTTTAAAAAAAAAAATGTTGAATATCCCTCCATTGTTTTGAATCCTAGATTCTTTGACTTATTTCACTGAGATGTTGCTTGTTGTCAATTCTATGCTTTTGTTCAGAACAGCATTTAAAACTATATGTTGTCTATATGATATCTATTCTTTTCTATTGATGAAACAGTGTCCTTTTGTTAAACTTTATAATAGTTTTATTGAAAATAAGGAAAAAGCCATTTTAATCTTGTGATAGATTGTCCACTTCAAGAACTCATAAAAATGTAATTTATTTCCATATTTATTTATTAACACATCTTTGTTCATTAAAATATTCACCATTTGCTTTATTGGCATATATATTGACTATGATTTTTTTTTTCTTTATGTAAGATAAATTATATAAAAAGATGCAATTTTCTGGAAGCATTTTTAAAGGTTTAGAAGAAAGAAACCAATGCCATATAGGAATAAAGATTGTAATCATAATTGGAAGACACAGTTTCATCAACTTGCATGTATTGTTATGTGAATTGAGAACATAAATATTTTTCATATATTCCACAGCTTTTATTAGTATTCCAATGGAATATATTTTATTATATTTTCTTAGTGGTGGAATTAGACACTCAGATTCTTGTGTGAGATGCAGAATTTAATGATTTATTTGTATTATATTTTAAGCATATAACGAGATTGTATTAAAGCAACATTTGTTGTGAGTCCAACACTGAAAAGTAATGCAAACTTGAAATGAAGTTGTTGTTTATAAGGTGGAAAAAACAGAATTTCAGTGTCATTTTTGGCAAAGGCAAATAATTTAAATATAACTATGTATGTAAGCATCACCATGCGATACATTATTGTGGTTTCTGTAGTAATATAGGATTTTACAGGATGGAGTTGCTAACACCATACCCAAACAGTTTTAAATTCAGAGTTACCCTTCTTCTAATTGGTTGCCAACCAAGGCTTGAGAGCCCAGTCTTCTCTACTATTAACCTTTAGATGTGGTGAGAAGCAATTGATTTATTACTTTCCCAAGGGTATTTGTGCAAAAGCAAATGTAATGGCCTTGACTGAAATTTGAACGTGGCATGCCAGTCCTACTTTTTGCACCAATAACTGTG